AGTTTAAAATATGGGCACAACAATAAATATGAAATAAATCACCACCAACAAGCAATTCTAAAGTTGATTGCAAATGGGCTATAGTCTGATTATAAAATGTTGCATTATCTAAACTAATGGTAAATATTTTATTTTGCAAAGCCTGCTCATATAATACATTTCTTATTTCTACATCAAACGAATGACCAGTGTATGGAAGTTCAACTAATCTAAATGAAATGGTTCTTTTATTTAATTTCCAATCATTATCAATAAAATGTACAGTGATATATTGATATTCTAAACCATTATTTGACCACAAATCATATGTTAAACAAACTCTTCCATTCAATTTTTTAAAGATGTTCAATAATTCACTTTTAATATCCTCAAATTTCTTTAAAATCCTGTTTCTAGTAGTATTTCTTGAAAAACTTTGATATTGTGCTACAAAACTTTCATGAATCATTTGGGCAAAATCAGGACATTCACTAGTAGTTAAAGATTGTTCTTTTTTTTTTTATAATATAATCAACTATGAAATTTTGTGCATGCATAGGATCATATGAAAATGTTTGCAAATGACCAGTTAATGAAGCCCATTATGGCACTTGACTTCTAATATCAAGTTGTTGGCTTTGTAAATATCTGTTAACATGTCTTTTTAGATGGCTAGTACCCCTTACAAATGTAACACTAAGTAAATGTGCACAATATTTACATTTTGCTTTAAATGTAATTGTACCATCATGATTATTTATAGATATTTTTTCGAAAGGTTTCCAAACACTACTAGTTGTGCCATAGATGATGATCCAATTGTTGGAAGATGGATATTAGGTACATTAGAATGAGAATCAACGAATTTATGTTGTGTAATATATGCATTAATATCGACAAAAACATTAGGAATATTAGAATTCATAGTAATGTAAATAAAATAATATATAAGAACTACCAATTAATTTAAATAATGAGTGACAATAATGGGTAAACAATAATGACTAATATATGTTAAGAAATAATTAATGTAAAAAAATGAGTAACTAATAAATTTAATTAAAATAATTAATGATACTGACTGGTGAATGTGATACAAAAATTAGCTCTTTTTTATAAAAACTTCTTCTTGCATAATTGCAATTGCCACTTAAGAATGAGACTTCAAAATTAATTGAGAGAATTGAGAGTTGAGAGAGATTGAGAGTTTGAGAGTTTGAGACAAAGAATTATTTGTAAGATTTATTTTAGAAGAGGAGAGATATTTATAAGACTTTGGGAGGATGGAGTGAATTTGCAAATAAAAAAAATTGGGTCGTTGAGTTAAACCGTCATGTGACCGCTTGAATTTTTATTTTTTTTACTATTAGTCTATGCAGCAGACATTAAAGTTATTAATTTTCTTTTTCCATTAGCATGGGGCAGCACGCTGCATTAGTTTGCGTAATGAAATGACTATTTAATTTTTTTTTTTTTTTTACCATTGCAAGTTATAGCGGATTATTTTGTTTTATTTATTTATTTATTTTTGAATTTTGACCGTTGGCAATTTGGTAGAGAGGGAGGGGGCGGGTGGGCTGTTGGGCTGGGCTGCTGCAGGGCGCAAAAATTTTTCGGGTCAGACTTTAAAATGATAGTCCAAACACAAACCTAGAGTTTTGGGCCGAGCGCAACAGACCTCGAACCGTGAGCAGATTTCGAGTCGTACACGGACTTCCGACCATTTTTACACCTCTATTTGGTAGGATAAGCTATTGTAAATGACATATATAGTATTTAGTATATAATATTTAGAATTTGACTTGTCTTTACCCATTTTATATAAATGTTGGTTTGAGAATATTATGAAAATTTTAAACATGTTTTAAACTTTTTAGAATTTTTTATAGGTAGAACTAATCTTTTGTTGAACTTGATAGAATAGATATTTAGTAATAATTTTTTTTTAGTCTAAAATCGTAAAATCAAAGTAAAATTGAATTATTATTTGTGATTTGATTCTTAAAATTTTAAAAATCATAAAAGGTCATTTAATTTTTGATTATTTTATTTTTTATTTGGTTCATTGAAATAAATAAAATGGTCATTCTCCCTATAGAATGATCATTCTCTTACAATGATTAATGATGTTTCAGAGATTGTTTGGAAATTTCAAAAAAAAGTCATTTTTTTTTTCATTTTTTCAAATATTTAGTCACATTTAAAAAAAAAAAATTATGTCAATTTTTTTTACCTCTCCAATTCGTCTTATATAGACAAATCTAGAAAGTAAATCAAAATTAAAAAAAAAAAAACAAAAAAGCTAAAATAATTTTAAAAAGTATATTATTTTTTTACTTATTTTTGTCTTTTATGATTTTTAAAAAAAATTTCGATTCATCTTGTCAAGTAGAATATAAAAGTCTAAATTTTTTTAATAACTTTTAATGGATGTTCATTAAAATAAAAAAAACTAACAAAGCAAACAAACTCCAAACACCCACTCAAATTGTAATACATTTTCCATTAATTGGGTGATAGGTTTTAGTAGAAATATTGGCACCACAACCAGTATTTCTGCGGAAACCTGGGTACTTCATGATGGTTTTAAATTAGCACTTGACGGTGGCATTAACAACCTCCTTGTAGAAACTAATGACATTAACCTCATTCAGTTGATCATGGGTAAATCAAATGATAACTAGTATCTTCATAACTTGATTTAAGATTGTAGCATCCGCTCAATTGATCACATTTTCAGAGAAGCAAATGCCTGTGTGCAAACTCACTAACAAATTATGGACCAATATGACTGATGGATTGCACATTTTCCACTACCAGCCAAATTTTATTGCAGGTCAATTATATGATAATACTAGTTGAGCTATTATCCTAGAACTATGTACTGTTACTCTGAATTTTCAATGAAGGCCCTTTTAACCCAAAAAAAAAAATAACATTTCCATTCCACCTCATTAGCAAACATCGAGTAATACTATTTACACCAGTGTTTTAACTCATTACACCGTTCAATTTGTACTTTTATTTTATTACATTTCAATCCTTCTATAAAATTATTAAAATGACCTTCCATCTTAGAATTTGATGAAAACCATAATTTTTCAATACCCTACATCAGCACCATCTCTACTGGCCTACCATTGTTGTTGCCCCTTTGCCGTCGACAAGCCCCTCATGCCACAGCCACCTAGCCCCTTACCGCCAGTCGTGCTGGCACCCAATCCATCTCTATCTCACCTCGCTACTCCCAACCCTTCTCCATCACTTGAAACAAGGCTCTGAGCCCCCATTTGTTTGGGGTTATAGGGAGGGGATTGGGATTGAGATTGATAGTGTGGTGAGACCCACTATATGGGATATTTATTTTGAGAGATGGGGGACTCCTAATCCCTTGGTATTAGGATAGGCCTTGGAAGGGGGATTGGGATGGAGGAGGTAGAGGTGGTATTAAAAAAATAATCCGCCGAACTATTTTTTTTTAAATTTTTTTTACATATTGGGTATTTTTTTTAAACATTAATGTTTAATTTTTTGTATTTTTTGTTAAGTAAAAATCATTGTTTTATTTGTTTTATTTTTTTCTGAAATTTTTTTATTTTTTGTTTTTTATTTTTTTATTTTTTATATGTTAGGCATTTTTTTTTTAACATTAATGTTTAATGTTTTTGTATTTTTGTATTTTTTTATTTGTTTTATTATTTTATATTTATTTTAGATAAAAATAATTTAAAAATCTTTACACTAACAACCATCATCAAAACAAATACAATTTTGCTTAATCCTCTCACTAACAATCCATTTACTATGAATTCTCTCTATTTTACCTCAAACGGAACTCGAAGGAAAACATCTTTCAATTGCTTCCAAAGTTACCCACAATTGGGTTGCCAATACAAATACATCTATATTTATATATGTGTATATATTACATGCAATAAATAGAAGAGAGAGAGAGAGAATCCATCAAGATTTTTCCCATATTGGCCCTGTTTGGGGAGCAGGGGTCCCTGCTGTGGAAAATCCACAGCAGTCACGGCTGTAGATTAAAACGTCACCGTTTTCATGTTTTTTTTTTTAAATTAATCTGAGGGTTTATTTTATAAATAGAAAATATAATAAAATAAAAACAACTCATCGAACAAATTAATTTATCCAAATAAATTGTATTTTTTTTAAAAGATTAATTTTAAAATTAAAATCAAACAAACCATACATGTTTTGACTTTTTCAAAACTGGCTTAAATGCATCAAAAGTGAAATTGAAAGGGAAAAAAATTGTAATTGAACAAATCAATTTATCAAACCATAAGCAAAAACAATGTAACTTCAAAAAAATAAAAAATAGTTGTATAAAAAAATAAAAAATAAATAAAAAACCAAATTAAGGCCAAAATATATTCAATTCACATCCAACATCTGTATTAAAAAAAAAAAACAAAACAAAACAAAATTCTGAGGCATTCAAACTTCAAAATCTCTTGCCAAATATCCCAAAATTTGTTTCAACCATTCTAAATCATCCAAACAAAATTCTAAAAACTTTCCATTTCAATTCTCAAAACAAAAACTACAAAGTGGATCCCTATGTCAATTTTGTGGAGGCGGTTGGGAATAAATAGAAAAATCAAAAGAACTCTCATTTCTAAATTCAGTCTCCATTGGATTGTGCCCCGCTAGATTAAGTGATATTCCCTATAAAAATAAAAATAAAATAAAAAGAAAAGAAAAGAGAATTCATTAGAATAAATTTTATGGACTAAATTACATTACAAACTTACATATATTACTTACTTTAGAACTTTGTGGACTATGTGATGCTTGGAAAGACAAAGGTTGTGATTGTAGATACCTTGGTGAGTATGAATTAGTATCATGTGTGAGAAGATTATACCCATAAGTTATCAATTGTGGCCAATAGAAACTCCCACCATTCTACTCCATAAAACACCATGAAAAGTAAATACACTAATACAATGTAGTCTAAAAAATAAACAAAATAACATAAAACAAGAGCTAACCTATGGTTGACTTAAAGATGAATTTTGAACATTTGTGATATTGCTTGATTGACCAATAATCTACATAAGTTGTTAAATTTATCAATACATTACACAATTTATATAAAAAATATAATAATAATAATAATAAATAAATAACATAAAACAATAGCTAACCTGTTGTTGGCTTGAGGATGAATTTTGAACATTTGTAGTGTTGCTTGATTGACCAATAGTCTAAAGAAATTCAAAAAGTTATCAATACTTTACATAATTTATAAAAATAAATGCATGTCATTTGAAATTTCAAAAGTACGTAGGTAATACCTTACTAAGGCGGGTAGGTTGTGAAATAACTTTTGTCTTCTTATTCATCATCTCATGCCAAGGTTTTAATCTACCCCTCCTTTTGTGTCCAACATCTTTCTTCTTTATGCCCTTAACTTGTGTAATGTTGGGGTCGTCCACATCTAATTCATTGGTACCAAAACTTCCAACTCCCTTCATCATATTATTTACTTGTACACACAATTCCTTAATTCCTTCATCAACCAATTGATAGGCAGGTTTGTGCATAGATGCTTGAGTTGCTAGTTTCACCATTCTTGGACAAAGATCTCTATAACGTGCTAATATTAACAACTTCGGATCATCCTTATCCACTACAACATTTTTCTCTTCAACTTCACAATCTTTTGCATCCAATCTCCATCGACTTAATATATACCTTTCGGGAATTTTCATAACATTCATTCTATCAAGTGGTTTGATTGCATGACTACATAAAATTCCAAAGTTCTCAAATTTCTTACAAGTACAATGTATTTCTTGACAACTTTTTTCTCCTCTTAGCCCAATAACTTCCACCCTACCCTCCACAATTACTCTTTACCATTACCATACAAGCCAATCACGCACTTAACTTCTCCTTCTAACTCATGGAATTGCTTCACTTGACAACAAAGGGACGTATCCAACTCACAATGAAATAAATCAAAGATAGGAGGGGTGTACAAACTCGCAACTTGGATTAAAATGGGAGACTTTTTCAATTTCATTCTTGGCAACTTTTGTCTAGAATCATATATTGTGGAAATTTCCTCATACCGCTTATCTACAACAATCCGATTGAAGTGAGTAAAGAATTGAACAATGTTATGATCACCCTTCAAATATCCCCTTAATGTTCCATTTAGACTTTCACTAAGTTGTGTGCTTCGCATTCTTCCAGTAAATACCCACTTCATATACACATGCGCCCACTGCTCTCTTTTTCTTCAAGTTCTTTTCATCCACTCATTCTCTTGCAAGTTGTATTTATCAATCAAAGAATTCCAAGCTTCAATTAATTCAAGCTCATTCTCGTAGTCATAAATGCAAGCTTTTAAATCGCTACTAAATTTTGAACCACTCTTGAACAAGTAACCCAAATGCTTCAAAGCATTTTGCATTAGGTGAAAAGTGCACAACCCATGAAAAACCTCAGGCATGATTTGTGAAATTGCCTTAGCCATTGCTTGATCTTGATCTGTGAAAAAACTAACAGGTTTTTTTTCCTGACATTGCATCCAAAAATGTTTCAAATGACTCTGCAGTTTCATCATATAATAATGCTGCACCAAAAATCACTGTCATTCTAAAGTGGTTAAAGCCACAAAATAAAGCAAGTGGACGGTACTCTTTATTTGTTCGAAAAGTTGTGTCAAATGACACCGCATCACCGAAAAGCCCATAATCTGTTATCATCTGATGATCAGCCCAAAAAATATTAGTAATCATCTCATCTACATCCAACTGAATGGCATAGTAAAAATATGGATTTTCTGCCACTTGCTGCTGGAAATATCTTAACAAACTCCCCGTTTCACCATACTGCAAGTTTCGCTGTCTTTTTGCACATAAGTAGGTTTTCTGATCCTCTCGCGTGAACCCTACAAATTCCTTCCCTCCTGCTATAGCACTAATAAGATCATGTGAAGCCTTAAGAGATATTCCACTCTCATCAGCTATGTCAATATTTATACCCTGAGCATCACATACCTTTCTCTGAGATGGCATCAAATGAGTACATTGAGGAAGATGCAAAGGGTGGTTGTGGTTGCTATCAAACTTCGACACAACCCACTTCGACAAGTCCCGCTTAACAGATATATGCATAAATGCTTTACAATTTGTTCTTGTCTCACTTCGAGGATTTTTTATCATCGTGTACCGTTTATCTTTTTCCCTCTCTCCCTCCTTACAACAAACAAACTTTCTACTAGTCATAACACCATCTTTCTGACTTTTGTTACAATAATCTCTTCTAATACTAAACCCCACAATTCTTCCGTATTCATTATAAAACTCATATGCAGCTTCTTCTGATGGAAACTCCATACCAAGATATGGTGATTTATCCTTGGCCAACTCTCCCATTTCTTCGATGCATCCCTCAAGTCCACCATCATCCATTATACTATCCTCCATTTCAACACTAACAAATATGAAGAAAAAAAATTAAACAGGTTGTGAAATAACTTTTGTCTTCTTATTCATCATCTCATGCCAAGGTTTTAATCTACCCCTCCCTTTGTGTCCAACATCTTTCTTCTTTATGCCCTTAACTTGTGCAAAGTTGGGGTCATCCAC